CATTCTTTTTCTAACTCGACCGCACGTCGTGTTTTTTTTTTTTTTTTTTTTTGAAATGGTACCAGCCGGCGATTACCGGCCTATCTCAGTTGGTGCACCGATGAACTGTTGAAATATGAATCAGACCCAAGTTCGAGTCCAGATGCCACCAGATGACCAGAGAAAATAAAATCATTCTGAATTACCTGGGGGCGGTCTGCTCAATGATGACATCTAAAGGCCGTTGCCCTTTTTCAAAAAGGAAAAAAAAAAAGGAATTTTGAAATGGAGACATTGTTGGAATAATACCTCAACAAATTCAATTTCCTTCCTTTTTTTTTTTTAACCACCACTACCTTTTCCAAGCTATAGTCCCATTTGGGAAAAGGACCTCATCCGAAAAGTTCGGGGGTCCGGCGTACGGTCGGCAGGGAAAGGTCCCACGGTGAGGGGGGAAAAAAAAAAGAAAAAAAAAAAAAGAAAAAAAAAAAAAGAAAAAAACTAAGAACTTCGCAACCAGGGACGTCGGGGAAGACCCTCACAGAGGCGGAAATCACACGAGTGCTCTGACGAATGTATCTGGCCACTACGGGTGGAAAGTTGGAAACTTGAAAGTGATTGCTGCTGTTTTTTTTTTTTTTTTTTTTTTTTTTTTTTTTTTTTTTTTTTTTTTTTTTTTTGGTGCCCTTCCAGCAAGGCAGGGCGTATTCCACGCGGGGCAAGTAACTGCCTCGCTCACCTCATACTCACACTAGTACTGTAGCGTCCTGTATTGGACTGCGATCATAGCATAAGGGATGTTTTCTTTTCTTTTTTTTTTTTTTTCCATTTGTTCTTCGACGGACAGACTCCCTCACTGAGGGCACGGGCAAACTAGCACCTCCTAGAATGCATGTGATGGCTATCATTTTTGCGGCGCACTGGTACGGGCCGCAGTGCGGTGCGGGGCGCTGTGCGCCATGCACGAGAGAGTGGTGCACGTGCACAAAAAAAACAAAAAAAAAAACAGCTGTGTCTGTGTGTGTGTGTGTGTGTGTGTGTGTGAGAGAGAGAGAGAGAGGGAGGGAGAGAGAGAGAGAAAGAGAGAACTCGTGATCTGTTCAATTGCGTCAACTGTTTCAGCAAGAGTTACATGTGCATATCCTTCAGCCAACTGCCAAGCACATGATGTCTTGGAGTCTCCTACCACTACATGCCTTTGACAGCAAGGAAAAGCAAATTAGAGGAAGTAGAGTCAGTAGATGTATAAGGCTCATGGGTACTCCATACGACAGTGCATAGTATCATCAGTGTTCCACATTTCGAATTATTCAGAAGTGTGCAGACGGGCGTGTCTCTGAAGGTGTGTGTGTGTGTGTGTGTGTGTGTGTGTGTGTG